CTGTCCACACAGCCTTCACTTCCGGGCTGAAGCTGTCCAATCTGAATCAATTTTTGCGCAAATAAACTCTAAACATGGTTCATATGCCTCCGTTTCTCTTGTAGCAGCTCCAGCCTCGGAACAGGGACCCAAAGGGGACTCCCCCCCACCCCCCTAACAGCCTCAGGAACAAGGAGCAAGAACACAGGTACCTGCTGAGCCCTGGAGCGTGGCCTTCTCGCCGCAGCTGGAGATGCAAGTCCCTCTCGGATCCTGGATCCCAGCGCCCCGGCCTCCGTGTTAGGAGCTGGCAGACTTTATCTGAGCATCTTTCCGGATCTGGTCCAGAAACTGCCGGGAATTGTTGCAGAAGAGCAAAGAAATACCAAGCCCGCTTCCTAGAGAAAGGGCGGGACTCCATCTATTAACATATCAAGTGTCCGTCTATTTGGACTTTGGGAATCATTTCCAAATCAGAGTGAAGACACACCCAGAGGGCTTCGCTTTTTATAACCTTCTGGGGTCATTGTCTTGCAGATATGGCTCCATGGTTCCGCCCCCTTTCGTGGGCTTTCAAGGAGGCCCCAGGTGTTGGGGATCCCCAGGCCATACCCATGATCTGTGCTGGGGCCAGTGATAACGACCTCCCCGCCCCCCACCCCCCCAGGGCAGTGCATTGTTCACAGTTTTTATGGCCTGACACGCCTTGCAAGACCAGTTTCCTCCTCAGAATTGGGCTGGTTCCGAATGGAAACCTAGCCGGAGCTGGGGAGAGACTGCGTCCCTCTTAGAACCTGGAACCGGGGCCTGGGAGGCCTCAGGTGAATACAATTTTGCTTTAAGACTGAACAAGTAGGGCTTGGTGCTTGAGAGTTGGCCTATGAACCAGGAGGTCAGGGTTCGATTCTTGGTCAAGGCACATGCCCGGGTTGCAGGCTTGATCCCTAATGTGGGGCCTGCAGGAGGCAGCCGATCCATGATTCTCTCTCATCAATGATGTTTCTCGTTCTCCCTCTCCCTTCCTCTCTGAAATCAATAAAAATATATTAGAAGAAAAAAAAGGTTGAACAAGTAGACCAAGCATGTCAAATTCAAAGGCTAACATGGGACAAACAAACAAGGTTTAAGTTTATGTGGGCCACAAAAAAACAAAAGTGTGGAGAGCGGCTAGTGTTTGGTCAGGTTCAAGCCTCAGACCAAGGAGAGGGCACAGTCCTCTCATGGCCACGTGCAAGTCCCAGCTGGGAGGGCAGGGCCCTCCCAGCACAATGATAGCCAACAGCTGTAGTTGTGAGCTTGAACCTATGGTCCGAACACGTGGCCCACGTGCCTGAGTGACGTGGGCTTGATAGAGTTCAGGTGCATGTAGTTGAGTAGGGTCGAAACCCACCAGAATGCTGTAAACATCTTGACCACGCCCTGACTTTGCCTCGTGGAATCTGCTATAAAATAAAGACTCGGCTTGTAGCCTGTGGCACTGTCGCTAGCTCTCCAC